TGAGTCTCACTCTGTTGCCCAGGCGGAAGTACAGTGCTGTAATCATAGCTCGAGCAGCTAGGACTACAGGCTCATGCCATCATGCCTAGCTAATTAAGAAAAAGTTTTTTGTAGAGATGGGGGTCTTAATATGTTGACCAGACTGGTCTTGAACTCCAGGCAAGCAATTTGCCTGCCTTGACCTCCCAAAGTGTTGGGATTACAGGTATGAGGTACCATGCCCGTATTCTCCCATCGGTTTGATTAGGTTATTTGTTTTTTTGTTATTGAGTTGTAGAAGTTCTTTATGTAGTTGAGATACCTGACCTTTGTATGTGACTTGCAGATCTTTTCTCCAATCCTGTAGGTTGTCTTTTTACTTTCTTGTGTCCTTTGATGCACAAAGTATTTTAATTTTGCAGAAGTCCAATTTATTTATTTATTTCTTATTGCCATCGTTTTGGTGTTTATTTAAGAAATGGTTAAGAAACTGTTGCCTATTACTCCTGTATTTTGTGTGTGTGTATGTGTGAACTTTATAGTTTTAGCTCTTATAGCTACGTCTTTGATCTCTTTTGAGTTAATTTTTGTGTGTGATGAGAGGAAGGGGCCCAACTTAATTCTTTGACCTATGGATATCCAGTTGTTCCAGCATCATTTGTTGAAATAATTATTCTTTCCTCATTGACTTATCAATTAACCATAACTGTGTGGGTTCATTTCTTGACTCTCAATTCTCTTCTATTGATCTATGTGTTTAGCATCAGTGTTTTTAAAGATCCTTAGATGATTCCATGTGCAGTCGAGGTTGAAAACCATCTAGCCAGAGTGGGGAGTATGGGTGGTTTGACTGGGAGACAATACAGTGCGGGGGTTTTTTGTAATACTTCACTATAGGTGTGCCAGCCATCATTCTTCACTAAGCCATTGTTCCCTAACCTTGCCCAATGAGAATTGCCAGAGATTCTTGTTAACAATAGATTTATGGCCTCTGTGAACGGGGGAAGTGCAAGGCCTAGTGGAGGGTAGGGAGGCGTCAGCTTCGTGTGTGGCCTGTGATTCTGGGCTCTTCCATTTTGACACTTCCTATCAGTTGCAAATTCACCAGAACCTTCAAGAACCTGTGTGTTTAATGCTGTCCAGGTGAGTCTTATGGTCAGGCTAGCTGGGGTGATGCTAGGTCCACCAGGCAAGACCATTAGTAGCCTGTGTACAGTACTGCAGTTCATCCACAGAATTGCTCTTCCCAAGCTACTCTTGGAGTGATGCCATAGCCCTGCGATGCTGCTGTCCTTGTGTTTACTCTGCACACTTCCTCGGCCACCTTATTTAATATTGCCTTCTGCCAAATATGTACAAATACTGTCATACCCACAGTTTTTCCCCATCTGTGTTGTTTGCTTTGTTTACATTACATAGCACTTTTCAGGAATAATTAATTGATTTAATTATTAATGATTAATAATAATTGATTTATCTTGTCTCTATCCATACCACTAGATTGAAATCCTCTTGAGGGAAGGATTTTTATTTTTGTTTTTTCATTTAAGTGCAGTATCCCCAGTACCAAGAGCAGTGTCTAGCATACAGTAGGCACCCAATAAACATTGAGTAAATGGAAGGGTATTATTGGAGAATGAAGGGAGAGACATGTCTATTTCGGTATCATTAGTCATTGTGCTTGTTTTGTATGTCATGGTGCTATGAATCAGGTGTTTCTGTCTTTGTATAGGCCACAAAAATAATTGCTTAAGCCAGGTATGGTGTCACATCTGTAGTCCCAGGCACTCAGGAGGCTGAGGTGGGAGGATTGCTTGGGCCCAGGCTTTTGAGGCCAGCATGGGCAACATAGTGAGACCCCCATCTCTTAAAAAAAAAAAAAAAAAAAATCATTACCATTTTTATATCCATTTTCTACTAGGTCTGTACTAAATGACTTACGTGTCACGTACTAACTTCTAACCTTCCCCTCCCCCCACCAGTTTAATTTGTCTTGCTGTATTGTGTGCATCTCTGCAAATCATCTAAATCTTCTTCAGAAACTAGCTGGCTGAAAAGAAGTACTATTTAATCAAATTTGATGAGAACTTCTTAACTTCAGCTCTCTTAGTCTGGGAAATTAAAACCTTGGATTCTAGGTGGTGGAGGATAATTTTTTTTTTAATGAATTCCTTTTTATTTATTTATTTATTTATTTTCCTTTTTAGGATAGAATTTTTGCGACATTTGAAGAGCTTTTTCCAGATTATGTTTAAAATTGAAACCAAGCCATGTGGTGAAGAACTCAAGGGCGGGGATAAAGTGCTGATGACCTGTGTTGGCATTGGTTTCTCCAACCTTAGCAAGACCCTCAAGTGATAACCATCACAAGATAAGGCCCCAGTGACTGCAGACAAAGCAGAAGCTGCCACAGACACCAATGGGACCAGGTCCAAATGGATTAATCCGGGACAGCGTAGCCACTTGCTTAATTTTCCTTGAAGAAATATCGACATACAAATAACAGTCCTCTCTATAGCATGTGGTTTCCAGCTGTTTCTCCAGTGGCGTTGCCATTGCTCAGGAGGCCCAGTCACCATAAGAGCTCCCTTGCCTTACCTGTGACTTCAGGCCACCGTCATGCTGCTAGAACAGTCTCACAGCTGCAGTTCAGCTGTGCTTCCTCAGCCTACTATCATAGGCTTCCTTGGCCTTCTGTCATATGGCCGTTTTCCAAACCTGTGGAGTCTGTTACTGTTCTTTCTGCAAGGACCTATACCTCCTTGAGCCTCAGTTTTTGTTGTAGGGATCAAACGAGATAATGTGAGTGGTGGCTCTATTCATGAGTCCTGCAGTGCTATGCAAATGTCAGAAATTGGTATGTTAACTATTTATCTTTTGTCTTCTGAATGGTTTGCTATCATGGACACCGACAATGATCTTCATCTGGTTCATTATATGTATATCTGAGGGATGGGTGGCTGCAGGGGTCCAAGTAAAGTTATTGGGATGTTTTTTATATCCCAGTTGTGCTATACATTCTTATTTCATTCTCACGATAGCTCCATGATGTAAATTTTATCTCCATGAGAAAATTCATAAAGGGTGTTTTGTTTCTTTGAAATGTGTAATGTAAAGACATCAGATCTCCTGATTTAAAGATCTAATTGTAAAAGTGTAATAGAGTCGGGGTCTGGGATTTTACCCTTGCAAGCTAATAAGTTAGATTATTACTGTTTTGTTGACGCTAGCAGAAGACATGAGGATCCTGGGTCAGAGACAAAGAACTTTATTACTCAGAACAGCAAGCAGTGTGAGCTTCTTGTTTATATTGATTTTCCCTGTTCCCCAAGACTCACATTGGACACGGAGGGGCCCAGGTAGATGCTGTGCGTGCAGTAGGTTTGCCTCATAGCCAAAGAACTTGTATGTTTGGGGACTCCACCTCTTTTATGGCAAGCCTGTTGTTTCACACGCAGACATTACTTCATCCCTTAAGACTGCTTCCTGCAGACACAGTTTTGAGAAAGAACCCAGGTAAAAGCCTGCCCAGCAAGAATATGGAGAGTACTCAGAATCCATGTCAGATTTCCCCTGCCAACTAACAGAGTCTACATTTGGTACGTGCATAGGGTTGGAGTTGGTAGAAGGGGAAAGATGTCCCTCTTTCCACTAGAATTCCAAATGGTGTCCTCCCCCGGGGGTGAACTTTGCCTCATCGCTCCCTCTCGGTCCTTTTTTCTTTTTAAGTAAAATGGGGCTAGAGAAAGGCTGTGCTTTGATGGCTGGGGGTGTGGAAGGATGTGGAGGTAGAGAGCCAACCTTGAGGAAGGCCAGGACATTCAGAACTATGACATTCTACTGAGAGCTTTACGTACTGTATTGGTAATGTGCCCTTGGTATATAACAAATGCTCACAAACTTAGTAGCTTAAAACAATACCTCTTTATCATTTCACAGGTCTGTAGGTCAGATATCCAGGCAGCCTGGTTGAATTCTCTCTTAGAGTCTCACAAGGCTGATATCAGGGTGTCACCTGGGCTGGGCTCAGCTCTCATCTGAAGGCTCTGAGAAAGAATGTGTTTCCAGCTCATTCTGATTGTTGGCAGAATTCAGAGTTATAGGACTGAAGTCACCTGTTTTCTTCCCCCCCACCCCCCTTTTTTTTTTTTTTTGGCTGGCTGTGAACTATAGACAACTCTCAGCATATAGACAGACATGACCCGTATTTCTATTCATTTGGTCTCCTCTACCTTCAAGCTGGCAATGGTGCATGGAATCCTGGTGCTCTGGATTCAGCCTCCTTTTTTGATATCAACTGGAGAAAACATTGCTTATAAATGACTCATAGTACAATAGTCCTACCTGGATAATCTCCCTATGTTAAGATCAGCTGATAACAGCAATACTAGATTTGTGTTTAAATAAGCAGGGGCTGGGAATTGAGGATTACCATCTCAGAATTTTGCCTGCCACACATACTGCAGTCTTACTCAGTGCCGCTGACGTTCGAACTCAGATCTGCCCATATAGATCTCAAATCCAGAACTAACGAGCCACATTGCTTTTGGACATATCAGATACCTTCTGTTCCTTGTACAAGCTCTGGAAATTGTGCTGTTGGTCAATATAGGATGGCACAAAGGCCAGGCAGAATACTGCAAGCAATAGAAGGGATATGTGCTATTGTCCGCTGCAAACCTGGAAGCGTCTGGTGGGGTTCCAGCCCTGCATCTGGCAAAGCTGCTTCTGGAGTTGGAACATCTATCAGTAGTGGTGATGGTATTGCCAAAAAGAGGACAAATTTAATATTTATTTTAACAGCTGACTCTCAGTCCATTCAAAATTCCCAAGAGGAGCAATGTAACATTCCTTGGGGCGGAAGTCATCCTTTGCTATTTGCTGGGATGTCTTAGAGACTATTCAAATCTTGCAGTCTCTGCCTTTTTCCTAGCTTAGCTCCTGGTCAGTCCAGTTACTCGCTGTAGTAGTTTGAAGAGAGAGATTCCAACATTTTGGGGCTCGTTTTTCTGTCATGGTCTGTCTGTTCCTTTCTGCTGATAGTGATAGACCATTCTGAGTTAACGGCAGCAGTTGTTCAATGGGACTGTGAGTTTTTTAGGCAGATAAACCTGTGAACTTTTGGGGGGTCAATGACAGAATCATGCTTTGCCTTCCTGTCATCTATAAGGCCCTGCTTCTGCTTTTCAACACCCTTTAACTACATTCCATGCACACTCCAGCCAGCCTCTATTGTGATGATTTTACCATACTGGTCAAAATAGTTGCTAAGGGGTGGGAGGAAGCCAGTGTATTGCAACACGACATGTTGATTGAGAAAGGGCAACAGGAGGACCTGCTGAATTCCACATTGCCCTCACTGGGCAGCTAAGCCTCATGGGTTTTGTTCTTTTTAAAATTTTTTAAATTATTTTTTGAGTCAGGATCTTACCCAGGCTAGAGTACAGTGGTGCAATCCTAGCTCACTGTAGCCTCAAACTCCTGTGATCAAATGATCCTCTTGCCTCAGCTTCCCAAGTAGCTGGGACTATAGGCATGAGCCACTGTACTCAGCTAATTGAAAAACAAAAATTATTTTTTAGAGATGGGGTCTCACTTTGTTGCCCAGGCTGGAGTTCCACCCCCCCCCCCCATTTAATTTTAAGCTCCGGGATAGATGTGTGGGATGTGCAGGGTTGTTACACAGGTAAACATGTGCCATGATAGTTTGCTGCACCTATCAAGCCATCATCTAAGTATTAAGCCCAGGGTGCATTAGCTATTTATCCTGATGCTCTCCCTTTGGATTTTTTTTAGTTTAAAAAATCATTTCCAAAAAAGTGGTAGAGGATAGCCAATCACAGAACCAAATTACAAAGACAAAAATTCAAGTTGTACCATGGTGCCTGTCCTCACACCAAACTGCAGAAGACCATGGTGTGGCCATTTCCTGCTAGGTCTTTGTGTTGGGAGGCTGCTTGGTGAGACCAATGCTGGCACTTAGTTTTATGGCCACTAAGTAGAGGAGTTAAAGGTGCTAGAGGGAGGCAAAGGAAGTAGGCAGGATGGAGTACAGGAGGCTGGGAGCAATTGAAGAACTCAAAGGTAGATGGGGAAACTGAAGCACCAGGGAAACAATTTCCAAAGTTTTGGAAGTGCCTGAGGTGAGCGTGGAGTTCAACTGGGGGATGGGATCAGAGTGAGCTGAGGAAGTGGATTTACTGGGCCTTTGTTCCAGGGTGTGAGGATTCAAATGTGGGGTTCTGTTGACCTTCCCAGTTGGTAGTGTCATAGGCCTGGGGTGTACAGATGGCAGTTTTAGTCTGTGATGAGTGGGAATGCAGCACTGCGGGGCCCGTGCCCACCCAGGCTCTCCATTGTCCCTCACCTGGCTCCAGAGTGGACAAGAAGTAGCTCGCACTTGGGTTTCCATGTTCAGGTGGTGCTGGCCTGTTCTCTAGAAGTGATTAAAAGTTAATGGGATTGTCAATAGGCAAGTTGGGTCTTTTTGTACTTTTCTTGGCCACATCTAAGAGGCTATTTGAGTGGAACACTTTATCAATGTTTGGCATCTAATGAAAGCTGAGCTCCTTTACACCAGCAAGTAAAAGCTGTCCCGTGGTCAGGAGTTGGTAGGGCTGCCCTCCTTCCTGGTCACGTTTGGCCTGTACCTGTCAGGTAGTCCAACCCCCAGCCCTGAGCACAGGCCTTGGGGTCAGCACCTGTTTTAAAACATCCTAGATATTTTGGATATTCAAGTGTCTCTGAGGGCTAGGGACAATCTTTATTCCTGTTTGCTCCCCATTCCCAGCCCTCCGAAGAGCCTTCTGTGCAAAATCCTCAGATTGCTTAATTTGTTGATTTATTTCTGCTGTAATTTGGGACATTACATATTTCAACTGATAAAGAAATCAGAGGGCCACTTAAAGACAACAGATAATGACCCAGCCTGGATAAGAGACTGTGCCTTATAGAATTGGCTGCCATAGAGTGGTAGGGTTGCCGCTGGATTCCCTGGGGCCCATCTGGGCAACTGATCTCCATCGTGGGAGAAATGATGTTGCAAAGGTAAGGGCAGTTGCTGTTTCCTGCTACATCTGGGGATGGTGAGCCATCCCAAGGTTCTTTGTAATCTTCAAGGAAGCATGTTAGTGTTTGAAACAGGACCTGGCTTCAGTTATGGCAACCCAACCTCAGGCTGTTTTAGGTGCTGAATGCACTTGGTTCCTGGACCCTTCCACATGTGCTCCTCTTGGTTCTAAGCTCTGTTTTGACCACCCTGCTATTTTACCCATTAGACAATGAAAGGCGTCGTGCCTAAGATCTATAAGCTTTCTATAACCTACGAAATGCTTGCAAGAAACCAGGAAAAATAATCCTGGCTGCAAATTATGCAAAGAATAGAGCAAGAATAATTAAATATCTACTAAATGAAACACTGTACAGCTTAATTTTCTTCAACTTACTTGTTAAGATAGAGAACAATATAGGTGAGAGTTTCTTTTTTCACAGGAGTTTCTAGTTTTAGTATATGTTCTGCCAAAGTGATCACGTCACAAGAATTTCTCAGTGCACACAGTGATTTCCAAGGAGTCATAGGTAAGCACGTTAAATGAGTTGCTGATCACCAAGCCATTTAAAAGGCAAAATTATAAATAGCCTTTCAGAGATTTGAGATAGGGCTACATGTTTGTTGTTTCTTATCTTAATTTTTTTTAAGAAAGAGAGGATTTGGTTGTGTTGCCCAGGCTAGTCTCAAATTCCTGGGCTCAAGTAATCTGCCCACCTCAGCTGCCCAGTGTTAGGATTACAGGCATGAGATACCACTCCTGGCTGAGCTACATTTTAATATGTGTGGTTTGATAACACTCATAAGACACCTAGAAAGTAAAACCATCTAAGCCTGTGCCTCCTCCCATGGAGCTGCCTCCTCAGTCTTAAAGTCTCACCTGTTCCTGAGGAAACCCTTTATCCCCACAATACACCCCTTGCTACATGTTCTCATAGATGCCTCTCCTGCTTCTTAGCGCTCACCACACCCTGTCATTGCTTAATTCTCCTCTCTGTTCACCTGTGGTGGTAGGGGTCAACTTTTAAGATTTGGTGTGGCCATTATCTTAAAGTTTTTTTTAAGTCTCTGTTGAAAATTAATTTCATTATTTATGAGAAAGGTTT